TAATTCCAACTGTGTCTGTAACTTCAACAATTCACCATACAGCTTTAGCTCACTGATATCTGATTGGAGCCTCCAAATCAGTTACTTCTCCCCAGAATATTGATGCTCATTCATCCGAAGAATCAGAGCTCTCACCCTTATAAGCTATCAACAACTCTTCAGCATCATTTATAAACATTGCAATAAATTTCTCCTTGAACACCTCATCAGATAATAGTAACACTTGAGCAAAACTAGGGTTCTTCTTCAACAGTTTCTTCGACTTCAGAATACTAAGAACCCTGTAACGAGGGATCACCCTCTTCTCCAAACTATTCATTAAAAATGTCGGCTGATAAACCAATACTTTTCTTTCAAACCCAACAGTGTATAAGTAGAACTCAAGTCCCRACTTTAACTTCTCCTCAGAAGTCCTGAATAAACCCGGATTCCTCCTGAACATAGACATGCATTCGTCTTTTGAGAATCCAAAGCTCTGAAATAGATTGAATTTCCTCTCAAGGGTCGCTTGGCTCATGCAACTAACCGTGTAGAGCGCATGGACTAACATTCTCGAATCTGCAGAAAATCCCATCTCCATAACCCTGTGAACACGTTCTCTGAGATTAGACGGTTTCATAGCAAACAAGGTCGGTTGCCGCTTCAAAAGCATCGTGACCTGTGAGCCAATAATCCCACAACTCTCCAAAAAGGAAATGTTGGGCAACAGTCTTGAATCTGGGTATCTGGTGATCCATTTGCATCTGCRCAAAACTTGAATCAAACCTCGATTGTCGGCACCATTAGACAGGACTTTCTTGAAAATTTCAATGCAAGGGATCAACTTTCGATCAAGGCTGTAGGTCAAAAGAGTTGCGTTAATCGAGATGAAATGACCCAAATCTGGTCCCGTGAGACCCAGTTCTTGAAATAACCTGAGCTTTGGTTCAAGGATCTTCTTGACATTAGCAAGGAGAATTCTGGGTTCCACTTGGACAGCAGTTCGAATATGGGTCTCCGTAAATCCCAATTGCTGG